GTGTTTTAATGTTTTTGCAGTTACCATGAAAGAGCTGATAGTAGAATATTTGATTATCGAGCTTCTGGCAATTTTTAGCTGACTGACTCCTTGACAGACCATTTTTCCTAATTGATGTGGTTTAGCATGTGGTATAAGTGCAGCTAGTGAGGACTAGTGAAATCAGGAGCCAAAAATAACCACTCATCACAGCTGTTTTAATAAGACCTTTCTTGAAAATTGTTGATCTCTATTCAAGGTTAAGGAGAAGTACTGTTTTTCTGTATTTACTCAGCCTTAGATTTTTGAGTGCCTAAGATGATGGGCCAGCATAAATGCAGCTTGTGTTCTGGACTTTTTCCTGAGTCATAGTCTCCATTCAGTCAGTTGGATTGACTGTTACATTGGAAGCTCAGTGTTTTTTGACATGCTCAGTAAGTCTGCAGGAGGCTGAAAAAGAAAATATAAGATTCCTGCCACTTCTACTTGAAATGTGAAAGTTGATAGTTGACAGGATACCTTTATTCAGTCCGTCTGGTTTTGCAGGTTACAAGTGAAGTTAATATGCAGATTTGACCCGTCTTTTACTTTACACCGCTGAAATCAGTACAGTCTCCTGAAAAAAATCCACTGCTCTATTGCATAGGCTATAAAGATTTCTGGTTGTTGGGAATACAGTTGGAGAATTTCATTTCATAGCTCTCATGTGGAATTGCAAATGCGATCCATGGTGCTGCATTATGTATGACACCTTTGATACAAGAATAGAAGCATCCCTAGAAGACAAGATAGAGTATTCAGACTTAAGTCACAAGCCACAAGCTACCACAGACATTATTTACATGCAAATTCCAGACTCTGAATTGTGGAAACTTAGGGAAAAATTCTGAATATAATATCAAGTGAAAAATGATAGTATTAAGTATCTTCAGATAATGAAGAAACTTGAAAAAGTTCACATATTTAATTTTGCTTTAGCAAAAGAAAACAGAAAACACTCATGGTGATTGGCTAAAAGTTCAGGTGAGTTAATCTTGATATTGTCTGGTTCAAAATTCTCAGTGAGTGTCATATTAAGCAAGGAACCTTAACTGTGATTTTATTTTTAATCTTTAACAACCCCAAACTCATTGTTCCAAACTCACTTGCTATTAATATAGGATAGAGGGTATGGTGTGAATTGTCCTGTGCTTAGAAATGCATTTATTTTCCCAACCTTCCACTCTTGATCCCAACAGACACAGCATCTCTACATTTACCTGTAGATCCCAGGCCTGAACAGGTTTCTTCATTTTGCTCTTCAAGTATTAGCTCTGCCCATCCTGCTGCTTGGAAGGAAGAGGCCAAAAATAGGAGCAGAACATATGCCAGCCCCCCTTGCAGACATTAGCTAGCTCCATTCCCTTATGGAACAGATGCCCTGAGTTTGACCCTTACTATCAACTTTCAAAATTACTTTGTTTGCCATACCCAATGAGACTAATGCTATATTTTTATTGTTGTGGACCCAAACCTGGAAAGGGTCCCTTTGGGTGGCCCTTAATTTCCTGAATTCAGTGTAACAGTATTGACTTGCAATTAATTGTGTAAGAGTGGATATTGTTACCTCCTGCGGTTACTCCTTTTATTTGAGAGTATAGGAATTTTATATGACAGCACAATTAGTATAGAATATATGTGCATTGCTCATATGCATCTGATCTGGATTTTAAAGAGTTTCATAGGTTATAGTCTGCCAGACCAAACTTAGTTCCAAGCTCTGTGTTTATAATATTGTCCAATTATCAAAGCTGGGATATATTATCACTGCCTGTTACTCTTGCTGTCAATTTGTTTTGACTCGGCTATGGTTCTATTTGTGCTTTACTGTAATGTAGTGAATACATTGGATTGGGTTGTTAGTTTAACAAGCTCTCTGGAGAACACTTTCATGATGATACATGTTGAGATATGCTAGGTAGCCTTAAAGTTATTTGCATATTTGCCAAAACCTACAGAAATTCATTCATTAGGAATTTTCAACAGGATAAACCTTCAACCTACAGATGAGGTAAAGATTGCATTTGTAAACATGGGAGAGTTAATTCATGAGTCCCAGCCAAATTTCTTCAGGGATTTTGATTAAACTAGTTTCTCTCTATTCTTACACTTTTAGTCAATGAATTATTTTATGTCCTTTTAAACAAATATTCTGCTAGTTAAGCTGTTATTGACCCTTGTGTTTTGTGTGGCTCACAGTATTGTATGAACTCAATGATTTTGGCCATATATCAAGCTGGGAGTTAGTGTTACCAGAGATTGGAACTAACTGGGCTGTTAATATGTACATTGTGCTCAGCTGGTTTAAAAATGTACATTAGTCTCTTCCAATGCTCACCATCGAAATTTCCAGAGTCAAAATCTGGAAATCTGTATTTTTCAAATGTACCCTTGAACTTTCTGGATTCCAGAAATGTTTCTATATTTTTATTTGGTGGTTGTTACACAAGTATATATGTGTTTAAAACCCTTTAAGGTATATACTTAAGATTTGTACACTTCATTCTAGTGTTTCATTCTCTTTATGTTAAACCTCAATAGAAAAAAAGTTTTGAAAAAATGTACACTTCTCAATCTTGATTCGATCAAGTGGCTTGCAGTGGTCACTTACTGAACACTGTTAAGTGCCCTTTGTCCATACAGTCACGCTGCCTAGTCGCTTCAGTCGTGTCTGACTCTTTGCGACCCCATGGGCTGTAGCCCACTAGGCTCCTCTGTCCATGGGATTCTCCAGGCAAGAATACCGAAGTGGGTTACTATTTCCTTCTCCAATACAGTCATGACCCAAGAGTAAATGACAAAGTGAATCTTGACCCTTGGGTTCATAAAACCTCATGGCAGAAACAGTGAAGATACATAACATAAAACTTTATAGTTTGTAAAGTCTTTTTGTATAGATGATCTCATTAACTCTGTGGTTTATGAGCAATTTTACTATCAGCATATTTTTGTTAAAAAAACCCTAAGGATCACTTATTTGGGGTTACTAACTGAAGAGTAGTTGTAGGGCTTAACTGCTTTTTTTCCTGAAATAAGAATTATTCATTTAACAAAAGAACAAAAACAAAAGCAAAAGAAAAATCACACCTGAGAACAGAAGCTATAACATTTTATGAAGCTACAGAGCTAGTGCCCAATGGGTTTTGAGGATGTGGGGTCTGAATTAGTCTTCCTTGCAATCACTGCTGTCTCTCCGTGTTGCTTATTTTCATATCACTAGTGCTTATTTGGACCTCTGGGATTTTAGTATGTTAAGCTTTCTCTGCTGAATGTGACATTTGTAGAAAACTTCGCAGTTTTTCTTGCACTCTTTTTTTGGTCTTTGTAACTTTTAATTTATTCTTGCCTCATTTTCAAATCCTTGAGAAGTATTTCCAGGTAATGCTGGCCAATGATGAATAATCCTTCTTCCTGATTACATTTAGCATTTATTACTTGTTCCATATTCTTTGCCACTTGATCATTTTGCATCTAGCTCTTTATTGCTGTCATGTATTATTCTTTGTATAAGTGCACAAATTTTGTCTTTCTCACAAGATTATAAGCCCTTGAGCATGAGACAACCTGTAGGGGCACATCAAAGTATTTGCTAGGTGCTCTTTGACATTAACAACATGCTTACTTGATTTTTCCACCTTTTACTGTTTTCTCTCAGTGTCTCCTTACACCCACTAAGATTTGCTGCTGTTTTGGGCCTTGGTATAGGAAAGAGTAGACTAATGATGAACTTCTTTGGTGGGATATCTAGGATCCTAAATCCATGGATCTTGGTGGCACAAACTCTGAGCTCTTTCATTTCCTTCTTTTTTGATGAGTAACTTCACTGATAGGAAGTTTGGTCATAGATGACATATTGTTGTTTAGTCGCTAAGTCATGTCTGATTCTTTGCGACCCCAAGGACTGTAGCCTGCCAGGCTCCTCTGTCCATGGAATTTTCCAGGCAAGAATACTGGAGTGGGTTGCTATTTCCTTCTCCAGGAGATCTTCCTGACCCTGGGATTGAACCCACATCTCCTGCGTTAGCAGTTGGATTCTTTACCACTGCGCCAGCGGGGAAGCCCCATAGGTGATAAACAGTTATGTGAAATAATCATGTTTTCCTTCATTCTAGTCACCTGGAGAGACTTTTCAAATGATCTGTGTGATATTTGCTTGTGTGCCCCATTCCTGAATGATCATCTCTGTTGCCCCTCCCAGTGCATGTAGAAACCTCTGGTCTTCAAGTTTATAAAGTAACTTCCTATTTTAGAAGGTAGAGTATTGGAGTATATATCAATACCAGGTTAAGAATTTGTTTGTGGTCCTGATGCTATAGAATGAAATGATTGCGTTTCAAGTCTTCACCCAGTGATTGACTGTGTCTCTCATACTCTTGAATTATACCTATCCATCAGCTCCCTGGGCCATGAAAATTCCATGAAGGCCCTCTTTGTCTCATATTTTTATAAGTAAGCTAGATATTCTTTCTTGGTTAGCAGTGCTGTCTTTAAATATTAAAATGATCCTCATTTCTTCTGATAAGTAGTTCTTTAGGGAGGTTCCCCGCCTACTTTAAATAAGGCCAGTTTTGCAGTAAATTCAGAGGTGGGGTGACCACTGAGATAAACCTAAGAAGGAGACTTCTGCTTATTGCTGTGTGGAAAATTCATCTCCCTGAACTTAAGGGTAATTTACTCTTACCCAGATCAGAATTCTAGTTAAAATTTTGTTCTTTAATATCTTAACGTTATGTGAGATTAGGTGTTTTTTTTTTAATGTAAAGGATGTTACAATATAGAAAGAATGTGGACCTTTAGACTGAATTGCTGAACTAAAAATTAACCCACCACCACCATCACCATCTTCATCTTTGTCTGCTGCTCCTCTTTATGCATGTTTACAGACTGATCCCTTCCGTTTTAGGTTTCTCTTTATCCAAGACAGCCCCTCTGGGTATGCAGAGGATGTGAACTGACTCTTGTACCTGCCTTTCTGTTTCTAGGTGGGCCATGCACAGACACAGCTCATGTCTCGTTAATCACACCAACCAAAAGATCCTGTGGTGCAGGTACGTACATCATTCTTACCTGGGTTCATTCTTACTGAAATTATTCACAGGCATTAGCTGCTGGTTATAATGTGGTGTCCTTGCCGGGGTACTCTCTGATTTCTTCCATCATTTGTGAAGTGATGTATTATGTGCTTAGTATTGGGAGTGGAGTGTGAGCCGAGGTCAAAGTGGTGCTCTTGGAGGTCAAATTGGCTGAGTTAATGCTGGCAGATAGAACCAAGAAGGTGGACATCAAAATGTACCTACTTCCTGACGTCTGAAGGATGTTATTAAGATCTAAACCATACAGAAAATGCAAATCAATGCCTAGTATAGCTTGTGGCTGATTTGTGTAAGTCGTGGGCCTACTAAAAAAAACATTACTTAAATAATGTGACTGAAGGGTAAATGAAGTACAGGTAATCAGCTTAACTGACTAGTGTAGTATCGTACTAGTTTTAGAAAATTATTTCCTTTCATTCATGTTAAAGCCATGGCGTGTACTGAAATCATTCTTTTCAGATACATGGAGTATCCCAGAGAACTTTGTGCATCTGTGACATTTTTATTAAGCATGAAGTCATGAATCTTGTAGCTCTCTAAAGAGCGCTCAAAAGGCCTGTTGCTCCCTTACCCTGTAGCTTAATTTATTTTTGACAGTATTTGCCTTTTTAAGTAATGCTGCTTGCTATTTAAAGTACCTTAAGGATTATATTTGAAAGAGTTAAAATAATCATATTGTTTCTCTAAAGGTCGAAGTCAGAGTATTTTTCATAACTTAAAAAGTCCTTTTAACTCTCTGGTGGAAATAGCACAGACTATCTCTGTACAGACTTACCCTGAAACCCCAGCCCCTTTAAATGCTCATGGTTTTGACGTTTAAACCTCAAGCAGGCCTGTCTGTGCTTGGTTTCAGAGGCATTCAGTCTAGGCATTGCATGCTGAAGAACTTAATTTTATTCTCTTGTCCCGAATGACCAGTTTGCGGGAGGGCTGTGTGAGATAGTCCTGACCTGCTCCATCCCTCCTTTGTCCAGTCCCCAAGCTCCGCTGGGTAGTTTCTGATTGAGACAGAATAGAACCGTGCCCTGGGGTGAGAGCGACTGTCCTGCTTTATCCAGTGGGCAGTTGAGCACCATCTTCATACTGACCCCAGCCGGAGCCTGAAAAACACGCAGAGCCCTTTGATTTCAGGCCCAGTGTTACACACACAGTGTACTTTGGTCTTTGTTTTTTCCTTCCAGTCTTGCCCTCAGGACGGGGCTTACTGTTAGCACTACCAAGGTGTTCAAGTTCATATCAAGGAATGAGTCTCGAGCCTGTTGGGTCTTCCTGAGGATTTAGGAAAGAGACTGCATGCTCAGCTCAGACACTGAAACTACTAGGAACCTTTCCCGAATATCACGTACTTGTGTCCTTCATCTTCTTGGCAGATCTGTTTTATTCTTTCTGTTGTCATACTATTTTGTGTATCTAAAAATAATACCATTTATTGCAAGCTAACTGCGTTACCAGGCACCATTCAATATTCTTTACATGCATGCATATTTAATCTTCATAACAATTCTACATGATAGTTATTCCTATTTTAGTTAACAAAGACAGGCACTCAGAAATTTAAATATATTTCCTTGGGTAATATTGCTGGTAAGTAATAGAGTTAGGACTTGAATACATTCTTTAGATCCTGAAGCCTGCTTTTCAATACAAAAATATTATTGCTTATCATATTTTATTGTAATTATGCTCTTAACCAGACAGTACAGAACATATCATTGAATGAAATGTGCAGAAAGAGAAACATAGATTTGGAACTTATAACATGTAGTGACATAGTTTTTAAAACAGGATTCTAGAGCAGATCTTGTTGCAAATCCTGGCCTGGCGCTCTCAAAATGCGATTTTAAGTAACCTCTCAAAATTTGTTTATCATTTGTAAAATGAGGTGCTAAGTCTCATAAGTTGAAGAAAGAAAAGAAATGATACACATAAAGCTCGCATAGTAGATGTTCAGTAATGGTAGCTGCTCTTGTATTTTAGTCTTAACCATTAAAGATGATGTGTGTACAGTGGCCAGTGTTGGATACTATCCACAGTATACAGTGGATAGTGTTGATAGCAATCAATAGGTGTTTTAGGCAGAAAGGCTTTAGAAGTATCAATACCAGAATGCATTGCCATACCTAGTATCGTTAATTGACTTTACACTGGTCACATTCCTTATTGCCTGTCAGTGTTGCAGTAGGAACTGAAGGTCATGTTTTTAGATCTCCTTACATGAAACGGTAAGTGAGACACCACTGAGCTCTCCGTTGCACATTTCCAAGTCTTCCTTTAGGTAAATGCATCCCTGTTAACTAGAAAAAGATGGAGAATTTCTGACTTGGAAGGAAATTAATGCAATGTGCAGGTCATCTCCTAAAAAGCCAGAAGGAAAGTTGAGATTTCTGACTGAAGACGATAAAGGTCATCAGGTTCATCTTGCTGTAACTCTTCTCAAGTAGCTGGTCTCTGCCCCCTCAGGCTCCTCAAGCTGGCCTGCTGTCTCAGCCTGGAATAATGGCCCTGACTCTAGAGGACAGAGCTTTCTGATTTTCAGAAGTAAATTAAATAATTTGCTTTGAGAACCACAGGCCAACTGTCTTTGTCTCCATCTTTTTGTCTATCCTGGAATCAGCGGGTTGACCATAGTGGGGATTCTGAGCATTTTCTTATAAATACAATACTTGTTAGTGTAACATTGCTGGAATGTTCCTGTATTCTTAATGGCTGGATTCTTCAAAAATAGGACCCATGCCTCTTAACACTTGCTCTGGTGCTTCCAGCACAAGTGACTGCAGCTCCCAGAGCACAGGGCTTCAGGCACAGATGATAGTAAATAATTACTGTGGTGTCAATTTTTAGGAGCCATAAAGTAAACCCTCTGAATTAGATGTTACTGATCCCCTCCTAGCCAGGTTATCCATAAAAGTTTGCGCTAAAGCAGCCTCCTTAATAATGATGTGTACTAGAAAAAGGATCCTTGGCTGTAAAGTTCTTTTTGTACACACACACACACACACACACACACATATAAAACTTATATATATAAGTTCTTTGAGGTGTGCAGGCTCAGTTGCCCTGTGGCGTTTCGGATTTTAGTTCCCCAACCAGGGATGGAACCTGCATCTCCTGCATTGCATGGTGGACTCATGGATTCTTAACTACTCGACTACCAGAGAAGTTCCCTAGAATAAAGTTCCTTAAGTCAGTGGTCTCTGAAGAAGGGCAAATAAGGTACAGTATGTGGGATGTGGGTAGAAAATCATAAAAGCTCTTTATCTCAGCCTTTTAAAATTTGTTTTGCAGATTAGTTTCATAATTATATATTAGCCCATATGTACAGTTTAAAACCAACAAATACATACAAATGTGTGTGCTTAGTCGCTTCAGTCATGTCTGACTCTTGGTGACCCTATGGACTGTAGCCCACCAGGCTCCTCTGTCCATGGGATTCTCCAGGCAAGAATGCTGGAGTGGGTTGCCATGCCCTCCTCCTGGGGATCTTCCCGACTCAGGGATTGAACCCACGTTTCTTACATCTCCTGTGTTGGCAGAGGGGTTCTTTACCACTAGTCCCACCTGGGAAGCCCACATACAAATATATTAAAGATACACGGCCAAGTATCTTAGATGGTGTGCATGTGTGCTTGGTCACTGCAGTCGTGTCGGACTCTTTGCAGCCCCATGGACTATAGCCCACCAGGCTCCTCCGTCCATGGGATTCTCCAGGCAAGAATACTGGAGTGGGTTGCCATTGCCTTCTCCAGGGGATCTTCCTAATCCAGGGATCAAACCTGCGTCTCCTGCATTGCAGGAGGATTCTTACTGCTGAGTCACTAGGGAAACCCCTATCTTAGATAGTAGTGTGCACTTTAAAAAGGTTTGTGACTTCAGTACACAGATCATTTTCTTTTTAGTACTTCAAAAATTAAGTCTAACGATTAGCGTTACACTCATTATTAAGTCAAGGCCTGAATGTAGCATGAGTGGTTGATAAGTGTATCTCAGGTGACTACTGTTTGATCAGAGGGTATTATTGCAATTTAGAGGGGTGGATAGCAGTGCAGAGTGGTGGGTTTATAGCCATCAAGTGTGAGAGGTTAGGTGGTTCTTTGGTAACTGAGTCTGAGAAACAGATTGCAAAAGGCAGCAGTCGTGGCAAGTGAAAGTTCAGTTCGTGTTTGTGAACTTGATGGAAAGGGCTTTTCTTTAGATGCTGGCTTTAGTCACATACTGCAACTGACAGTTAAACTCAGTAGTAGTTTTAAGTGGAAAAGAATAGTGGCCTATGATGGTTTTTGTATTTAAGAGAGAAAAATTAATGAAGCTGTGTGTGACTTTGTAAGCACTCTGGGATGTCTGCAGTCAGCAAAGTTGAAAAGTGCTGCCAAGTCCCAGGTTGCTTTTGGTTAGAATGTGAAAGTTACAGTCGATCACACCTTCAGATTACTAGAGAGAGCTTACACTTCTTTTAAGAGCTCAGAATGTTTTGCACATGTTCCCTTGTTAATTCTTACAACATTCCTGCCAAGAACAAGTATATTGTGAAGGAAAGAGTGTGCTTTTCTTAGCAACACACAACCTGAAGTGTCCCTTTTGTCCTCATATTTTCTGTCAAGTTATACCTTAAACCAAAACTTGTAATCTGAGCTGTAGTCATCTCCTTGAGTCAACTTCTTGGGGACTGTATTTGGATATTTAGATGAGTATCTTCATGAGGTCATATTTTTGTGTTTAAAGTGTCTTGTGCGGAAGGAGGGCTTCCCAGGTGGATCAGAGTAGTAAAGAATCCACCGGCCAGCGCAGAAGACATGGGTTTTGTCCCTGGGTTGGGAAGATTCTCTGGAAGAGGAAATGGTGACCCACTCCAGTATTCTTGCCTGGAAAATTCCATGGACAGAGGAGCCTGGTGGGCTGCAGTCCATGGGGTCGCAGAGAGTCAGACACTGCTGAGCCACTGAGCATGCATGCATGTG